CGTCTGTGACTCCCAACATAGCAATCAGATGGTCCTCCACCTTGTCGAAGAACTCGCACACTGCCTCATCTGGCCTCTCGCCTGGAGTAGGCAGGGGCGCCTGCCAGACAATGTCCCGGGCTGCTTCCTCCGCCTTCCGCTGGTCCTCCTCCGAGATGTCCGTCGACAGGTCGAATCGCTCGGGGCCTCTCAAGACCCAGACTTTGGCTTGAGCCCCCAGCTTGTTGAAGGTAAGCCGCACTGGCGCGTGGGGCTGTGTAGTCGTTGGCCGAAGCACTTCTGCGGTCGGGCTCAGCGCCGCAAGGGAGGCCGATATCACGAAGTAGTCGTAAACTCGGTCGTTTCCCGAGGTCACCGAGCAGGTAGGTAACATGGGCGCCACGACAGCACCCCCCACAGACCGTGGCCACCAGGAACTCTCCAACAGCTGCGGCTCCATGTTCCAATCCGCTGCCACGACAAACGGCTCGCATTGGGAGTTGAGGAATGCCTGCAGCACACTCAGCAGCTCAACGTTGGTGCGCGTCATCTTGGCGGAGTGCTCCAGGTACGCGCTGACCACTAACACCATCAAGTCCCCGAAAACCACCCTTCGAGCGAAAAGCCGCGAGCAGAATGGACCCCAGCCATGATCCACAGGTGCTGAACCTCGGTGTGTCGCTACCAGGCAACCAACCCCCGATGACACCGACTGTACCGAGCTACCCGTTCTCCTGCATGGGCTGAAGGACGCGTTGAGGCCGTTGCGGGCGCACCAGCCGATGGCCTCGCTCTCCTTCTCCTTCCCCGTGAAGCGAGTCTCCTGGATGAGGTAGACGTCGTCCTTCGAACCAGCGTCCGAGAGGCGCTCTAGCTCCGTCTGCGCCCCCTTCCAGGTCGTGCCATTCAGCGAGATGAAGGGCGCTGGGCTAGCCACAGGCGGCGCCACCAGCTTGGCCAAGCAGAGCGTAGGCGTCCCCCCCAGCTGTGGCAGGACATCTCCCTTGGTGCTCTGTGGCTCGGGGATCGTCAGCAGGCCCAGGGTGTCCACCGTGACTTTGGTGTTGAGTTGGCTTCTTGTCTGCCCGTTTTGACTGACAGTAGCACCTCCGACCCTCTCCGTATGCGAGGGTCCTGATCCAGCACATGGCGACTGAGCCTGGCCCGAGCTCGAGGAGCACTTGGGGCCAGGACTTGCGCTGCGCCTCTGCGTGCGTCCAGCAGGTGGCGACTGGGGCAGACGTGGCGCGGGGTGGTCGCCCACCACGACCCCCTATGAAGCCAAGGGCGGTGTCCAATAGGCTCCGACCCCCCCGTGCCACCACGCCGTGCGACCTAACGCCGTGCGATCTAACGCCTTCTGGGATACGTTCTGACACTTCTGTACCCGAAGCTGAGGAGACTCCCGTAGCTGACCAGGATGATCCAAGGCCGCCTTGCTCTACGCTCAGGTTGGCTTGGCTGGGCGAGACTCCGCCTCCAGGCAGCTGCCGCGAGTGCGCGTGCGACAGCATGATCAGCTTCGCCGCCAGGTTGTCGACGTAGTCCATTGCCTGGTCGTCATCGGGGACTGGCCGACGAAGAGGGTCAGGCTCCACTCCCCTACCAGGTCGCTTAGGCGGCACTGAGTCTCCAGGAGCTCTGTCCCCGATGAATCGACGAAACATGGCCCTGATCTGCTCCAAGTGCCTCCAGTGCCTGTGCTCAAGTTGCCACCGATCAAGAGGCTGGCCTCTGTTGGGCCTGACCACGAAGGCGATGCGGCGGGGCTCAGCCTGACACCTGCCGCTGAGGCAGAGCCCGTCCAGGGTGCTGTCCCAGCCTCTGTCAGGAAACCAGCTCCTCAGCAGGCGCCTGAGCGCCTCGTTCCCGCCGTCGGCAAGCTTAGCGCCCAGGGAAGCCTTGCACCAGCGCCTCCAGTGCCCGCTGTCGGTCTCCAGCTCAGAGTGCGAGTCGAACCAAGCGGCTGCCCAGTCCCTGAGGTCCGCCCTCATGTCAGCGAAGTCCTGGATGGCCTGCTGTCGAGCAGGATCTGCGACATCAGGTGAAGGCCCCATCACCACAGGCCTCCGCCCCCTGTCCCCAGGCATGACACCCTCTGGCTCGGCACGCAGCTGCTTGCAGTACTGCTTGCCTATCATCGATGTGCCCTCGTCTGGACGAGCGAGGGCAGGAACCAGGAACCCCCCCGACCTGAGGCCAGTCGAGGTCCACTGTCTTGTTGCTCCAGAAGCGGTCGGCTGGCCGCAGAGCTCTAGCTGTCTCGGCCAAGGGCGCTCGCCGATCGCACTCAGCCACCTCGTCCATGGGGTCTGCCCCATTCAGGCAGAGGCCGCCTGAGGGGGCGGCGGGCGACAGATCCTGGCCGTCCTCTGCTCGAAATTCTGGCTGGTTGTCTCCTCCCCCTTGGGCGACTGCGTTGCTGTAGTGGGAGGCGACGGCGCCGTCGAGTCTGCGTCCCCAGCCTCGCCGTCTTTGCCTCTCGTGGCTGCATCGGCGGCGGCCGCCCCTGCTGGGCCAGGGTCCTCAGGGCCTGAGCCCTGTCGCCGCCTCTTGCCAGCCAGCCGTAGCGCCATGGCCTCCTGCTCCTCCTTGAAGAGCTTGGCCTTCTCCGCCGCCTGCCCGAACATCTGCTTGACCGCATGGGACAGCTCGCTCTTGAGACGGGCGCTACGTTCTGCCAGCTCCTTCCTGTCATTTGCATCCATCTCATATTCAGCGTCGTCGAACCCCAGGCCAGCAAACGAGAGAGGGATCTCCTCGATGGAGCCGTCCAAGATGCCAGCCACGCTGATGGGGGCAACTGCAGGAGCTGAATCCTGGCTGATGTCGACCACCTGGCGATTGAGCTCCACCACCAGCTTGCGGTGCTCCGCCTTCTTCGTCTCCATGTCCTCGCAGAGAGATTGGACCCAACGACGCTGACTTTCAAGGCCTTCCTCGAGGCGCTCGAAGTGCATGACCGCCTTCTCCAGCTTCTGCACGACATCCTGCACCTGCTTGTGGGCGTGGGTGACCCTCTGCGACAAGGGCGGAACGTAGAGCGCCTCCTGCTGAAGTCTGCGCCTCTCATGCAGGGTGCGTCTGTGCTTCGCGAGGCTGACCGTATCTCCCAGCTTCTCCAAAGTGGCCACCAGCTGCTCCAGCTCGTGGATCTCGAGCTCCACAGAGGGGCCATCCTTGGCCACCAGGAACTGTGCACCAGGTGCCCGAGGAAGCTTGGCTGGATCGCCACCTGCACCACCGTCTCCACGTCCGCCTTTACCACCCTTGCCGCCGCCTCCTTTGCCCGTGTCCTTGCTTTTCTTGCCCTTCTTGCCACCTTTGCCGTCCTTGCCATCATCCACACCGAGCTGTTGCTCGCGCTGCTCGCTCCAGACGCCAGCGGGTTTGGCAGCAACGGCTGGGCTGATGTCCGAAAGCTTGTGGCCGCAGGCCTTGCAGAATTTGCTGCCCTTGGTGTTCCTCTTGCAGCCGCACTTGCTGCACTGCGGACCACGTCCAGCTTGCCCCACCTGGTGCCAGCCCTCGACGTCATCGTCTGAGCTGATGTCGCGCCAGGCCTGCCACTGCTGCTTCTGTTGCATCTCCCAGGGTGGGGACACGGACTTCCACCACGGAGGTCGCACGGCTGCAGGAGCAGGAGCCATGGGGCGAGTGCCAGGAGGAGAATCCTGGACGTCGTTGCAGGGTACAGTGCTCCTCACGGGAGCTGCTCCGACAGGAGCTCACACAAGTATGTCTGCTGCCGGTACCTGGCCGCAGGATCGCGGGCGGGGGCGCGCCTCCCCCACGCCAGGTGACTGCAAGTCCTTGTGCCAGAGATGGCTACGGACTTGAGCCAAAATGGCTACGGAGCCCGTTTATTATTAGATAAGGAAGCGCTGGATAAGGAATCCAGGGTCTGGAAACCATTGGGACTCCAATCGCGGATCGGCCATGGATATCATCGCTGCCCTCATCAGATAAAGAAGCCTCCAGGGTCTAGCGCCTCCTGGGGCTATTCCTTAACGAACGCCTCCACCGTAACTCACTGTTTGGGACACACGCTGACGAAGCTTAGATCAACGCGTGCGCGGGTGTCCATGCCGGCCTCCTGCGCATGAAATTGGTTGAAAGTTGCACAATCAACGATCGTACGTACTAGCCATGTATGAGCAGGACGTACGGGAGACTGGGCCGAGAAGTCTAGCCTGGGCATTGGGGGGGTCTCAAATGCTTTTTGAAAAAGGAGTGGCGCATGCGCGTGCGCCCCGAAGCGTCAGACAACGCATCGGGCGGCCACGAGGCAGTGACAGGCGACTGCCCGGCAAAGACCGGGAAAAAGCACCGGCCAGCGCCCGGGGCTGCCACTAGTTAGGCGACCACAGGCGGCCACCGGGCGAAGCAACAAGGAAACTATCAGCCAGCGGCCACAGGGCGACCACCGAGGGAAAGCCCAGAAATGTCAGCCAGCGAGCAGGGCATGCGCGAAACCACGGGCGGCCACCGAGGGAAAATCCCGGAAATGCCGGCCAATCCCTTAGAGCCAAAAACCATCGTAAGCGAGAGTCATCAGTGCAAGCACTGTGCGCGGGAAGTGGAGACCAAGGCCAGCGAGGGGTGAGCGAGGGGCCAGGTAGGAGGTTGGAGATGGGAGGAGTGGAGGGGGAAGGAGCAACCATGCTTTTAATGAGTCTTCAATCTACCCCCGGGACCTCTCCCGGGGAGCGCTCCGACGCGGATCCAGCCGTGGCGGCGCCCAACACAAAACAGCAACGCCAAAGAGCCCCAACACTCAATCATCGAGGAGACCTGGGGGAAACCAACAGGTACTCTTACCGCTACGCCTAAGGACCTCTCTCGGGGTGCGTTCTGCCCAAAACTTCGGGGCGAATCCAGCGGTGGCGACGAGGGCCTTCCACGAGGCCCCCCAAAGGGGAAAACGCGAGGAAGGCAGCAGCGTGTGCACCTCATCCTCCTCTGCGGCCGGGGGCGGGGGGGGGGGGCGACCAGCCACAAACGAAGCGGGGGCGGCGCGCCTGCCCGCCGAGCGCGTCTTGCCCGTGGTTGCCCACGCTCAGCCAGCCCGCGTCGGTGGCGTAGAACGCCTCGCCCTCGTCCACGGTGCCGATGGTGCCTCCGCCGCTCTCGCCGTACGCGCCGCTCCCAGTGGCGGTGCACGCGTCCAGGACGGCCGTGTCCTCGGGGGCTCGAGTTTAGGCCGGGCATGTCTCCCTGCCGGCGGGTTTTGATCGGCCCCCAAAAAAGTACCCCAAACGATGCAGACATCTTCAAAAAATGATGGAAAAATCGTCCCCGATTATTTTTTGACTATTGTTGAATGTTCCTCCTGTGCATGTCGTTCATTCCTAATCGTGCTCATTTCTAATTGTGCTCGCTTCTGATTGTTCCTGGCCCCCTGGTGGCCAGGAGGAGGCCCAGAATGGAACAATTAGAAAGGAGAGGATCTTGGCCCCCCCAAACGTCAAACAGCCCTCGAAGAAGTAGAAAGTGAACCATGTGTGGAGGCACACGCCCGGCCTGGGGCTCGAGGGCCCGAGGGCTGGAGGGCCGGAGGGCTCGATCGGCGGCGATCGAGGGGGGGAATTCGGCGGCGAGCGAGGGATCGATCGGCGGCGATCGAGGGATCGATCGGCGATCGAGGGGGGGGGGGAATCGGCGGCGATCGGCGATCGATCGGCGGCGATCGAGGGATCGATCGGCGGCGATCGAGGATTGGAGGGATCGGTCGGCGGCGATCGAGGGAGAAGGCCTTCTCGGGGGGCAACGGCACTTCTCAGACCCGAGATGATGTCGACGACCGCCACGGCCCCGACCACGACTCCGACGACGACGACGACCACGACGACGACGACGACGACCACGCCGACGACCACGCCGACGACCACGCCGCCGACGACGACGACGAAACCATCGCGCCTTCTGGAAAGCTTTCTGTGCCTTCGGGAAATGCTTCGAACATGTCGCAGAAGGCCGGGGAACGTCCAAGCCTTCTGAGGCAGCGGCACTTCTCGCTTCCCCAGGACTCGCCGCCGACTCGAGGTTGGAGGGTTCGAGCGTCGGTGATCGGGGGTTCGAGGGTCGAGGGTTCGAAGGTTCGAGAATCGACGGCTCAATTTGCGAGGTTCGAGGGTCCGGTCCAGGGTCGACGTTCGTGGGCCGATGCTGTTGGACGTGTCTGGCCCTTCGTGGGCGTCCAGACACACATCCCCCAATAAAAACATGGGGGCTGAATTTCGGCGGCCCTCGCGGAATCATTGGGTCGGCGATGGACCCCCCCCCTCGCAAGCTTGGGCGACGCCTCCAGCGCTGGCACCCAGCAAGGTTCGCGCGATAGCGAAGGTGTGCTGGGACGGGGGTCCAGCGCCGACCCAAGAACTCCGTGCGGAACTCCCCACAATTGTGCTCATGTGCTGTGATGTCGACTCCGACGTCGTGACGTGTATTTTCCAGTCCAGAGAAGTTCCCCCAGTTTCGGCATCCGGGCGCCCCGGTACCATCAAATACCGATCTAGCGCTGAAGACACAATCCGCCAGAGGTCCGTGGGTCCGAGCGGATGTCCTATATCCTCCCTCGCATCTCTTCCTCTGAACCTTCGTCCCTACGTTGTGCTCAATCCTCCGCCCTCCTCCTCGTGCGCTCCCCTCCTCCCTCTCCTCCCACCTCCGTATGTCCTTCATCTTCCCCCTCTCCTTCCTCTCCGCCTCCTCCTTCTGCGCCATCGCACCACCTGCTGACCTGCTCGTGCCAACAGGGCGAGCTGGGCGTTTCGCTCAGACTCGGGCTCCCGCACCACTTCGCACAATGGGGCTCGACCCGACTCCGTGTCCACAGACTTATTGCGTCGGCTGCTGGGCAGAGGGTGACTGCTCGGGCGAACGGGCATCATGGGGACGCACAAGAAGCAAATGGGGCCGCGGTGCACGAGGGAAGCGGAGGAGGCCCCGGCGCGACAGGAGGAGGGGACGCCGGGCCCGCTCAGGCAAACTGCTGGCTGCGGCGGGGGGAAACTGTGTCCACAGACAGCCGACGTCGCGATTTTCGCTCACACCGTGAATCGCCACCGGCCTTTCATCCCGAGTCGCTCTGTTGACGGCCGCGGGGCCTGGCAAGGGGCCCCCAGAGGCCGCAGGTGGCCGAAAGCCTCCCCGAATGACCTCTTCACGACGCGGAGATGTCAAGTTTGGGGGCCACAGCATGGCGCAGCTGCTGGAAGGCATCTTCGAGCAAGAAGACCTCTAACAAGCGACGACAACGCCAAGAAAACCCCGGAGAGCCGCAAAAGAGGTCTGCGTGCCCCAAAAGTGGGTGTGCGGATCCTGGCGCCGCGGGCCGAGCGCGAGAACAGGTGGGCAAGCGGACCAGGGGCGCGTCTGCACCTCAGCTGGAGGAGGAGGAAGAGGAGGTGGAGGAGGAGGCGGAGGAGGAGACGGAGGAGGAGAAGAGGAGGAGGAGAAGAGGAGGAGGAGAAGGAGGAGGAGAAGGAGGAGGAGGAGGGGGATGAGGAGAAGGAGGAGGAGGAGGGGGGGGAGGAGAAGGAGGAGGAGGAAGAGGAGGAGGAGGAGGAGGAGGAGGAGGAGGAGAAGGAGCAGAAGCAACGGCAGCAGCAGCAGCAACAGCAGCAGCAGCCGGTCCGCGCCCACGCTCGCAGGCCGCAGAGCACCCCCTCCTCCCCTCCCACGGGCCGCTGCCCGCGGCAGCGGTCCTGCACGCAGGTGCCGTACGCCCTGACGAGGCCTCTGTAGCCGCTGTCCCACGGGCGGGGGCTGTCGTTCGGAGCCTGGCGGGGAAAGTTCTCCCCCCCCCCCTCCTCCCTCCTCTTGGCCCTCCTGTACGCCCATTGCCATTATTCCTCCTCCTCTTCCAATAGGTAGCCTTCGGAATTAGCTACGTAAGATCGCGTCGCAGCCTTTCATAGGCTAGCCCCGAGTTGCTGTACATCGCGGACAGCACGGGGTGCTAGCAGGAAACCAGATGCTCACGCAGTCACCCACTTGGGCACAGAAGGTGCAAGCTGTTGGCGCAAACGTGAACGAAACAGCTCCGCATTCCGACCATTATTGATTTGGTCGTGTTCTCTTCTCCTCCTCGCCCTCCTCCTCGTCCTCGTCCTCCTCTTCCTCCTCCTCCTCCTCCTCCTCCTCCTCCTCCTCCTCCTCCTCCTCCCCTCTCCTCCCCTCTCCTCCTCTTGCTCTTTCTCCTCCTCCTCCTCCTCCTCTTCCTCCTCCTCCCTCCTCCTCCTCTTCTTCCTCCTACTCCTCTTATTCCTCCTCCTCCTCCTCCTGCTCCTCCTCCTCCTGCTCCTCCTCCTCCTCCTGCTCCTCCTCTTTTCCGTCATCCATCATCAACATCATCCGCATCGTCATCATCATCCTCATCTTCGTAATCACCGCCAGCATCATCATAATAATCAGCATCACCTTCACCAGTATCATGTATTCCCCACCTTCCTTCTCACCCTCCTTGTCCTCCTCCTTATCCTCCCCTTTTTCCTCCTCCATCCCCTCCTCCTCCTCCTCCTCCTCCTCCTCATCCTCCTCCTCCTCCCATTTCACCATCACCATCACACCACATCACCATCATCATCATCATCATCATCAGCATCATGATCATCATCATCATCATGTCCACCATCCTCATCATCACCATCATCACCATCACCGTCATCATCATCATCATCATCATCACCATCATCATCATCATCATCATCATCATCATCATCATCATCATCATCATCATCATCATCATCACCATCATCATCATTACATCATCATCACCATCATCATCATCACCATCATCTGCCCCGCCTCCTCCTCCTCCTCCTCCTCCTCCTCCTACTCCTCTTCCTCCACCTCCTCCTGAGATGATGGGATAGCGGCCAATCCCAGGGGGAGGGGACTGCCGGCTGCAGGGCCTATAGAACCCCGTGCACGGGCGTTCCACGGGGACCAGGACGACCACGTAGCCCCCGCGGGGTCGGGGCCCCGCCGTCGCGGCCTCTGCTCCCCTGGCCAGCTCGAGCCGCGCCGCTGGCGCCACGCCCGCGCCGCAGCCCGTGCCCCACGCTGCAGCTATAGACTGCCGACGCTGGCCTGCCTGTAGAGCAGCCCCCGCGCCGCTGCCCCAGGCCGCCGCGCTGCTGCTGACCTCTGCGAGCCGTCGCCATGGCCGGGCCCGCGGCGCCGCCCCTGCAGCCGCCGCCAGCTGCTGCCGGCGCGGCCCGGCGCTACAGGATGGGCGCCCGCCGCGCGGTCAGCTGCAGCGCGCGGCGCCGCCCCCCGCCTCCGCTGCCCGCGGCCGCTGACCGCGCCAACGCCGCCGGGGTCACCGCGTCGTCCGGCGGCCGAGCCTGGGCCGCTCAGCCTGGCGAGGGCCGCGCCGCCGAGGCCTCGGCGCTCAGTCTGGCGCGTCGCTCGGGGGGCGTGGGCCGCGGGGGCCCGCCAGTCACCGCGCCGCGCTAGCATGCAAGGCGGCCGCGCTGTAGGTGTCCGCGCTGCAGCGATGCAGCGCGGCGCCCAGGCTCTGCCGCGCCGCCTTCAGCGTCGCCAGGTCGCCCGCCGCCGAGCTACTTAGAAGCGCCTGCGCCTCCTTCCCGGCTGCGCTTCCAAAACGAGCAGGGCAGGGCCCCGGTAGCGCCAGCGCTCGCGGGCCTACACCGGCGCCGTCGCGGCCCCGTCGCGCGCGGCGCGGCTTCGCCTGGCTGCCGCGCCCGCGCCCAGGAACGCGTCGAAAATCGATCGCCACGTCGGCGTAGGTGACCCCCGTGACCGGGTCGGTGAAGGCCACGTCCAGCCGCGCGGCCTCGAGGGGGCCGTCCAGGCGCGGCCTGTCCCCGGGCGGGGACGAACTGCTCCGCCCTCGCGCCCGCGGCCCCCGCGCCGCCAACCAGCGCGCGAGTCGGTCCCGGACGCCGTCGCGCGCTTCAGCGCCGCGCCGCCCCCGATTGGGTAACCCAGATGATGCCCGAGGTCTGCGCGCAGGTCAGCCCCGCCGTCGGGGCGGCGCCGGAGGCAGATTGCGGTCGCCCCTGGCCGCAGAGGGTCCAGCTCGCGGGAGGAGCCAGCCACCGGCGCATGTCCCGCTGGCCGAGCGGGGGCTCGCCTGCTCTGGTGGCGGCAGGGAGGCGAGCAAGAGAGTGCGGCGCCGCTCGTGCGCCGGCCTCGCGAAGCGCCGCTGCGCTTCCCCCGCGCGCCCGGTTGCTGCGCGAAGCTGCCCCGCAGCGTCTGCGCTCGCAGAGCGCCCTGTCGCCGTCGCCCAGGTTCGGGGGCAGGCCGCGCGGCGAAAGCCTCGAGGCTCGGCAGCCCGAGCTCGCGACGCACTTCGGCCGCGCAGGCCAGCCAGTGGCCCATGATCAAGGCGGGCAGGCAGCCCACCCCGAGGCCGCGCAAGCCCAGCCCCCCGTCTGCCAGGGGGAGGCAGGCCTGCTCGCGCGCCGCAGCAGTCGGGAGCTGCCCCATCTCGCCCTGCAGGTGCCCCGGGGCCCGAGCGTTGTAGTCGGCGCAGGAGGCCTCGCTGAGCAAGTGCGCTCGCGCGTGGTGCAGGGCTGCTGCGTTCGCAAAGGCGCGAAGGAAAGCGAGCTCGCCCGCGCTCTCAAGCCGCGACTGCGCGATTTGTGGAGCACCGCCAAGTAGGTCGCCAAGTGCCGCATCGACGTCTCCGGCGCGGCCGTCGCGCCGAGACTGGCCGCCGCCGAGTCGTCGCCGAGGAAAAGCAAACGACTGCCCGCTGCCCGCCGCGGCTAGGGTCGCAGGCAGCTGCAGGCTGCGCGGATTCCATGCCTGGGTCGTGTCCCCGTTGAGGCAACGCCCGCGCGCCAGGGCGGCGTCCTCGGCCGCGGCGAGCGCCTCCGGCGCGCCCGCGAGGTAGACGCCGCTCAGGCACGCCACCACGATGGCGCCCGCGTCCCGCCGCAGCGCGCGCGCCAAGTCCTCGCAAAATGGTCGCCTTGGCCGTGGCGGCAGAAGGCTGGCGAGAGGGGGCAGACCTGGTCGAGCCCCCGCTCTGCTGTCACCGCTGTGACAGCGCCCCAGAGGTGCGCGCCGTGCGTGGTGTTCCCTCCGTGCCACGCGGCTGCGGGGCGCGCGAGGGGCAGGAGCCTGCTGGTGACCTCTCGCGGACGGCGACATCCGGGCCAACCTCGCTGAAAACGCTTGCCACGTCCAACAACCATGCCGGCCTCTGGGGTGCTTTCTGCACGGCGCAGGCCGCCACCTTGTGCATCGGCTCAATGTCGTTGCGCCGCCCCGCGCCGTCCTGGCGCGGGCCCACCGCCTGGGCGATGACCTCCTTGTGCTGCGTCGTCTCCGCCTTTGCCGCCATTCGGCGCGACGTATCCCCGCGCGCGAGGGGCCGCATCCTGCCACGTGGCTTCTGGTACGGGATCAGGCGGCCGCCCAGCAGCGCCTTCGCTGCCGGCACGGGCGCCTCGCCGCGCACGATGCAGCGCAGCACCTCCACCAGTGCCGCCTCGCCATCTGCGTGGCCGCGTAGGGTTGCCCAATGCTCGAATCGCACACTGCTGGCGGGCCCTCGGCCGGAGTACCACGGGAACTTCGTGGCGGGCGTTCGCCGCCAGGTCTGGCGGGCGTCGGCAGCTCCGCCGCCGTCGCCAGGGCGCGCCGTCGCCGCCCAGAGGTCGGCCCAGTCGCCCGCCCACGCCTGCCGGATCTTCGCTGTGAGAACCTTCGTGGCAGACGCGGCCTCCCGCTCGAGACTGCCTCCTTATAGGAAGTATGGCCTCCAGGGCTGGCTGCGCAGCGACCGCCCGCAAGTCGCCCGCGGCTGCCGCGAAGCTGTCAGGAACAGCCGTCCAGGTCGGCACTGGCTCGCGGAACGCGCATGCAAGGTCCAAAGTGTCCAGGGAACTCGCCCCTCTCAGCCGCCACTGCGTGGCGGGGCTCAGGTCGCCCACTGGCGCGAGGTCGTCCTCATGCGCGTTCGTCGCCCTGCGGGCGCCAGCTGCCGCTGGGTTCGCGCCCGTCGCCCCAGCCGCACCGCCCACCACACGAGCCAGGACCTGCGCCCGCGTTTCTTCGGGCAGCGCCGCACGGCCTTCCATTGTGCCCGCGGGGATGCCTCCCTGGATGCAGGCAGGGCGCCTAAAATAGCGATCCGGGTTGGCACCGTCGGCCAGCCGCACTCTCGGCGGCCGAACCCCTTGCAGCAAACGTAGCAGAGGGCGACGTGCCGCCGTGCTGGTTGCAGGGTCGCCGTCCACGCGCGCACCCCGGGTCCGCGGAGGGGCTCCAAGCGCGGGAGAAGCACTACCATCACCTGCAGCGCTCCCCGGAGCAGCAGCAGCCTCCTCGTCATGTCGTCGTCGTCCTCATCCTCGGGGTCTGCAGCCATGGCCGCCAGCGCAGCGCCAGGGCCTGCGCTGGCATCCACCCCCGCCGCGGCAGCGCCAGGGTCCACGTCGACCTCCATCTTGATGCTGTGCTGGGAGTTCCTGGGCACCCGAGGGGGCAGCCGCCGCCAGCCAGCGCGGCCGCCCAGGCAGGGACCCGGGCCAGGCGCCCGAGGAGCGGGCGGAGGCTGCGGTGTGGAGAGGCAAGGGGCGGGCGGGAAGGGAGGCGGCCTGCCAGCGCCGCTGCCCAACGGGCGCGGAGGCTGCACGCCCAGCGCCTGGCCCGGTCGGTCGGCCTCGCGTCGGGGAGTGGAGCGCCGGCGGCCGCCGCCGCCGGGCGTCCGGGAGCCCTGCTGCGACTCAAGAGTCGGCCCCTGGGGTGCGCTCTGGCCGCACGCCTCGTGCTCTACCCAGACGACCTCGCGCAGCGAAAAGAGGATGGCGCTCAGGCGTGCCACCGCCCGGGGGCTGGTCCCTCATCGATGGGTTCTCGGTGGCGGCGGTCCGTGTTGCTCTTCTGAGGCCCTCTGGCACGTGGCCTTCTGGTTTCTGGTCCTCGAGCTCGGCATCTATAGCCAGGAGCTCGGATCGGATAGGACCGTGCGCCGGGCTGGGCCGCGTCGGCACCCAAGGCCGAGGCCGGCCAGGTCTGCCGCGCCATGCGCGGCGCCGAGCAGGCGCTGGACAGAGTCGGACTGTCGGGAGACCGAGCTCGGCCGAGAATCGTCGGCGAGCGAGGGGGGGAAGTGAGAAGGAGAAGGCCTTCTCAGAAGGCGGCGGGGCTTCTCAGAAGCGCTCTGGCCTTCTCAGAAGCTTCCTGCGCCTCCGGGGAAGGCTCAGAAACCTTCTCGGAAGGCCGGGGATTGCCGAGCCAACTGAGAAGGCCCGCGCTTTCTCACTTCACCCCCGGACTCGTTGCCGAAGCTCGGTCGAGAATCGAGCCGAGGAGTCGAATCGGTTGGTTGGGAACGAGCCCCACCCGGCCTGCACGCGGTTGGAGAGCGGCGTGTCCGCTCCGGCCAGCAGGGGCGCAGGGCAGCTCTTCGACGCGAAGCACCACGCGCCACACGTCCACCTGCCCGGGTTGGCGAAGGAGCTGTGGTCGACAGCCATGTCCCAGGTGCTGCAATACGTGCCTGAGGGTGCGAAAAACATAGATGGGCCTGTTGTCCACCACCACCACCATAAGTTGGAGGGGCAGGGGGTCCTCCTCCTCCTCCTCCTCCTCCTCCTCCTCCTCCTCCTCCTCCTCCTCCCCTTGCTCCTCCTCGTCCTCCTCTTCGTCCTCCTCATCCTCCTCCTCCTCCTCCTCCGTAGTTATTTTGGCTGAAGTCGTGTGTTCCGCCCGCTTTCGGCCGCGCGGGACTGCTTGGGATGGCCGGCGGAGGGGGCTCGACGGCGGCGCTGCGTGGCGCCGCTGGAGCCCGTGCGGCGGCGGGGGCAGATGGCTGCAGAGGCAGTTGGGGGACGCTGACCGCAAGAGGAAGGAGGCGGAGGAGGCCCTCCAGGTGATCGTCGGGGATGCCGAGGTCGCCGCCCGAGACCGATGCCTGCTGCCAGCTCTGGCGGCGCTGGTGGTGGGACGCGCGCCGACGTGGCTGCAGAGGCTGAGGCGCAACGCCGGCCTACATGCAGTCACGCCAGGGGCGCAGCTGCTGTTCGCTGATGCGACGGCGCTCCGCGTGGCCCAGCGCGGGCCGCGTTTGGATGGCGCTGCGGCGAGCAAGCAAGTCACGGCCATGACCCACGACGCCGACGCGGTCGAGTGCATCGTAGAGATCTGCGTGGCCGAGGGGCTGAAGGGCGTTGTCAAGTCTGCAGCGCTCGTCCAAGGCCCCGCAGTGTGGAACACGGCGGCTCCGCCGTTCGTGCCTGGCGCTGCGAAGCATCCTGTTCGGCTGGGCGCTGATGTCGACGAGCTGTTGGCGGTGTTGGACCCGCTGGCGGTAGCCGACGGCGTGGGCGACGGCAAGGACTACCACGCCGTCGCAGAGTACGACGGCGTCTTGTGCGAGGATAGCGCGATCGAGTCGAAGGAAGTGGAGCCGTGCGAGGAGTACGAAACGGTGGGGGATCACGAGAAGCCGAAGATCCCCGCGGAGACCGAGCATGCTCCTGGGCGTGCTTTCCCGCGGGCAGCCCCTGCCGTCCCGCCGAGGAGCGTGATGGCCCATAGGGGCGTGAACTACCTCAGCCTGCTCAAGGCTGGTCTACCATTCCACATGATGGAGGAGCCAGCTGGCGGCCCGTGCGACGAGGCTGCCGTGCAGGCGGACGTGAGCTTCGTAGTTGACGAGGCCAGCGGCCGCCGTTGCATGGTCTTGGAGGTCGCTCGGCGTGCCGCTGGCCGTGCGCAGCTGAGCTCGTAGCGGTGTCACCGCTCAGCCGCTCCCTGAGTGGCATCCCGTTCGTCGCGATGCTGCTGGGCGCGTGCTTGGTGTTCGACGTCGCGGCTGGGCAGGGGAGGAGCTCCCACAGGCTCGTGTCCGAAGGGCCTCCCCCGAGGCCAAAAGACGCAACGCTGTTGCTCCGCTTGAGTCCTTCGTGAGTCCTCCGCCTCCTCCTCCTCCGCTTCCTTCCCCCCTCCAACTTGTGGTGGTGGTGGCGGAGAACGGGCCCATCAAACATGGCAGGCTCCGGAAACCCTGACCCCCCCCAAAAAATTCAACGTCTCTCTTGGGGGGGGAGGGGGGACCTCTCTGGCTCCCGCTGGCCCTTCGCCGACTTCTGCCAGCGGAGCCTCCCTCGCCCGACGCCCGCCGGCTCCCGCGGGCCGGCCGCCGAGGAAGAGCTGCCGGCCTCTCGGCCCCTCGGGGGCGAGGCCCTCCCTGGAACTCCTCGCAGCTGCGTGCGCGCAGGAGTGCAAAGGGATCGGCGTCGGCGGCGCTCGCGGGGGACGGAGGCAGGAGAGCAGAGGGTGGCCGAAAACGGCGCGCGACCACGAGCGCCCACCACGGAAGCCCCAAGTGGGTGGACGTCGACTGGCGTGCAAGCCCCGCGCCCACATGCACCTTCTCGACGGTGGGGATCTGCTACAGTCGGGGCGTTGACCTGAGGAACCCTAAATAAGGAACGAGGCCCCTTTTCCCCATAAGTTAAACTTCGATTTCCTTTCGAAAACATAAGGAAAACCTGAGGCAAGCTGTGAAACACTTAAGGAACGCGGAGCCCCTCCCCAACCAAAAGGGTTCCTTCTTCAGGGCCCCGACTGTAACCCGGGTCAATCAGACCCGGGTCGGCAGGGAACCAGAGAACTGCACTGCAGGGAAGCAAAACTGCAGCGCAGGGCTCCGCAAACCCGGGTCGGCCAGCACGCGCGCGGCCGCCCCGCGAACGCCACGGGCGGCTCGCTGACCCGGGTCAGCCAGAGAGGGGGTTCTCGCAGGATCCTGCAGGATGCGGTGCCAGGGCTGACCCCCGCCTGCCTCGGCCCCCGCCTCGAGGCGCCCGAAGACAGGGACGGGGGGGGCAGTCCGCTGTGGCGGCGCGGCGAGGGTCAGATCCCCACGCCGTGAAAGAGAGAACGCGTGCAGAGCGGCGCCCCACGGAGGTCCGCCGCCGTGCCATCCCCCCCCCCCGCTGGCGTGCTGAGGCGATGGTCTGCTGCCAGGTGCTGCCCGGCAGGGCTTTGCGTGCTGCAGTCATCGGCCTGACCCAAGGAACGATAAGCAAGGAACGAGGCCCCTTCTTTTTCTCCAAGGGAGAGCGCAGAGGGAACGATAGATAGCACATCACGAATAGAGAACGATGAATAGCGCGTGCAAGCCTAAGGAACGGCCGAGCCGCTTTTGAAAAGTAAGTGTTCCTTATTCAAGCCGCTCACTCTATCATAAAGGGCCCCCCTCTCACCATCCCCCCTGCGTGCGCCGCCCGACAGATCCGCGCGTTGCCAAGATCGCCTGTAAAAAACAGCGGGTCCTCGCTCGCGAGGCCACGATCCCTTGTACAAAACATGAGCTGCGCTCCCGAAGCCAAGTCCCCTCGTAAAGACAATACGATGGCTCAACGTGGCCTTAGACGGCCTAAGAGGCCCCCAAAGCAATCCAGGAGGACCACAAGAGAACCCCCAGTGGGGCCTGAAAAAGCCAAACACATTGATTGGCATCTCATGTTTGACAATTGTTAGCTTCTTCACATGTGCGGGCTTCCTTCAGCTTCAGACGACCCCAGAGGCCTCCAAGATGGCCCCAACACAGCTCCCAAATGGCCCAATAATTCGTCAAGGCGGACGGCCTCAAGACGACCCCAGAGGGCCCATAGACGGCCTAGGACGCCCCTAGAGAGCCCCAAGAGATCCGAAGAGGGCCTCTGGAGGGACCCAATACGGCCTCAGAGGGCCCCGTCGACGGCTTAAGAAGGCCCCACGACAGACTCGGGACACCTCCCAAACGGCCAAGACGGTCCCAAGACGGCCCAAGAAGGCTCCAAAACGGCCCAGGAGGGCCCCAAGATGGCCCAAAAGGGTCCTAAGAGACCCCCAAGACTGCCTCGCAGGAGCCCAAGAAAGCCCCAAGACGACCCCAAATGAGCTCTATCACCATCATGATGTTCCACTCGCACTCGTCGCCTGCAATGCTCTTTATCCATACATTCCTCCTCCTCCTCCTCTTCCTCCTCCTCCTCCTCCTCCTCCTCCTCCTCCTCCTCCTCCTCCTCCTCCTCCTCCTCTCGCTCCTCCTCATCATCATCCTTAGAACACTGGGCTGGTACGGTGGCGAGACTTATCGCAGTCAGCTGAATACCCCACCCGCCCACGCTGACACGTCGTTGTGGCGGCGTGGGGTGTGTGGCATGCTTTGGACCCGGAGTGCCGTAGTCGGGGTCACCATCAGGTCCTGTCAGACCATTGTTATAGCCAACGCACTGGCAGACCTCCGCGCTGTTCGAATTGTACAAGTCGACCCACCATGTGAACTGCCACCCTGCAAGGTAGTCCCCCCGTGCGTAAACCACCATGGGGTAGATCTGCAGCGCACTAAAAAACACAAACATTGTCATCATGAGGGCCAGCAGGTGGAAATACAGCACCTTTGTGTCTGGCCAACAACCCATATTATCAATGCCCTGGCGGCCGCGATCCGACCATGGCTCCGAACGCAATAGATCTGGCACCAAACTTACACCGATCGTGCATTCCCTGTCCGGCCACGTCCCTCCCTGTCTTCCATCTCTACTCCCCCTCCGAATCCTCCCCATCCGGCCTCCTTCTCCTCCTCTTTTCCTCCTACTCTTCCTTCTCCTCCTCCTCCTCCTCCTCCTCCTCCTCCTCCTCCTCTTGCTTCTCGTTCCCCCCCCTGCTTCCCCTCCTCTTCCTGCGCCTCCTCCTCCTCCTGCTGCTCCTCCTCCTCCCAAGCCTCCTCTCGCGCTGGCCCCCCCTCTTTTTGGATAGCAAGGGCCCCGCCCGTCATGGACTCGGGGAGAGCCCGGGCACCCCCGACTGGTGGAGACAGTGGGACGGTCGGCGCCGCCTGAATCGGCGTGGTATACTCAGACACCATCGCGCTGTGGAAAATCAAAACGGGATTTGTTTCGCTATCTTCATTCTCTGGGGGGCCCTGGCCGGGCCCCGGGATCATCGAAAACGACTCAGGACGAAAAACCGGCCCCTGTGGAAGGGGTCCAGACCCGTGGGGGTCAACGTTGCGAGAAAAACGCGACGTCGGGGGTCTGGGTACATAGAGCTGGGGACTGGGCCGCAGGACCGGCGGAGACAGGCGGGGTCGCGCCTCTCCCCGGGGGAGGGGGGTCAGCTGCTGTGAGACTGTGTCCCTCTCCTCCTCCTCTCTTCCTTCTCCTCGTCTCCTCCCCCTCTCTTCTCCTCTCCCCCCCTCCCCCCTGGCCATTTCGCGTCCGAGCGGCCCCCCCCTGCACCGGGCCCCTTGGACGATGCGGCGCGCAAACTTCGAAGTGGCGCTGCGCGCCCGAATCATGAAGAAGCAGCGCGGAGCCCCACGTCATCAGCTACAACGCTGAGATCAGGCGAGCGCGCAGCTGCCAGGATGCCCGCCCCCTCCCGCCCCCTCCTCCTCCTCTCCGTCTCCACCCTCCTCCACCTCCTGGCAGACCGGGGCGCCAGCCGATGCGGCGCCGCGGGCAGAGTGCGGGGACAACAGAATCGTGATCAGCTACAGCGTCGGGATCAGGCCGTGAGAGAAGACCAGCAGTGGCAGGCAGAGCTGACGCTGCGAGAAAGCAAGCAGTAGCAGCCAGAGCTGGCGCTGCGACAGGGACGAAGGCGCGGGTGGGCCGCGATCAACTACAACGCTGGGAGCAATCCGTGCGAGAAAGGGAGCGCGCAGTGGCAGCGGACGCTGGCGCTGTGCAACATGCGCGGGTGGGCCACGATCAGCTGCAACGCTGGGAGTCGTCCGTGCGAGAAGGAGGGCCTGCGAGAAGCGGGAGGCGAAGCTGGAGCCCGAGTGTCTCTTCTAGCAAACGCCTCTGGGAGCAGCGCGAGTGAGAAAAGCGAGCGATGTTCTGCCGCGGCCATCCTGCGAGAAGTGGGAGGCGAAGGCAGAGCCCGATGTCGACAGCTACAGCGTTGGGATCGGGGCAAGCCGCTGCGAAAAGAGGGAGGCGAAGCTGGAACCCGAGTGTCTCTTCTAGCAAACGCTTCTGGGAACAGTACGTGCGAGAAAAGCGAGCGATGTTCTGCCGCGGCCATCCTGCGAGAAGTGGGAGGCGAAGGCAGAGCCCGATGTCGACAGCTACAGCGTTGGGATCGGGGCAAGCCGCTGCGAGAAGAGGGAGGCGAAGCTGGAGCCCGAGTGTCTCTTGTAGCAAACGCCTCTGGGAACAGTACGTGCGAGAAAAACGAGCAATGTTCTGCCGCGGCCATCCTGCGAGAAGTGGGAGGCGAAGGCCGGGCCCGATGTCGACAGCTACAGCGTTGGGATCGGGGCAAGCCGCTGCGAGAAGAGGGAGGCAAAGCTGGAGCCACACGTCGTATAGCTAACAGCTCTGGGAACAGTGTGTGCGAGAAGAGCGCCACCCTGCGAGAAGTGGGAGGCGAAGGCAGAGCTAACACCTCTGGGAACAGTGTGTGCGAGAACAGCGCCATCCTGCGAGAAGTGGGAGGCGAAGGCAGAGCCCGACGTCGTCCGCTACAGCGTTGGGATCTGGGCAAGCCGCTGCGAGAAGAGGGAAGTAATGCTGGAGCCAAACGTCACCTTCCTAGCCACCACCGCGCGCTGGGAGAAGCGGGAGGCAAAGTTGGAGCCCGACTCTATCTAGCTACACTCGCTAGAAGCAGCGCGTGCGAGAAGTACAGGGGCCAACGAACGGGCTCCGGCGCGAAATGGCAGGGCACGGACGAGCTACCCTCAGTTACAGTGCAGAGATCAGCCCGTTGTGCGAGAGCAGGAGTGGAGGAAATCCACTCGTGCGAAAAGAGGGAGGCAAGCAGGCAGTGGCAGCGGGGCTGCCCAAGCGTGCGTGCGAGAAGCAGGCAGTGGCAGCGTGCTGCCACGGCGTGTCTCAGTGTCCTGGGGGCGATCCTCGGAAGATCTCTAGGCGTTTGAATCGGTTTGGGAAGGGCGACACCCGACCACCAACCGCCTTTTCTGATGCAGCCCCATGTCACCCAGGAGAGGCCTGGGGGATGGTGCTGTCTCATCGTCGTCGGTCGCGCCCTCTTGCTCATGGCACGGCTGATCTGGATAGCAGAATCCTCGTAGCAGAATCCTCCCCCCCCTGGAGCTCACAGTTCCCACGACGGTTCCCCCCCCCCGCCGGTGTCGGGGCCGGGGGGCCCGCGGCGGGCGCGAGGAGCGCGCTGCCGCCGTGAGACACGCGGTGGTCGATTCTTGCTGTGCAGGCTGTTGCAGCGCCGCGTCGCCCAGGAGAGGCCTGGGGGATCGTGCTGCTTCCTCTCGTCGTCCCTGTTGCCCACGCTTACGGTAGGAGGATCAGGTCAGCAAGGTCCCAGCCGGAGCCTCCCGCGCCGCGCAGCAGGGGTCTCGTGGACGTCGTCAGGTGGGCCGAGGAGGTCTGCGACGAGAGCGGCGAAGTTCAGCAGATTTTCATCGCGGACGAGTGAGGCGATGAGCTGCGCAATGGCACGGACAAAATCTTCAACCAGGAGTGGGGCATCGTGAACCAGGGCAAGCCGGGCGAGAGCTATACGGCGATCACCCGGGGCGCTGGCGGCCGTCAGGGCCGCCCGCGGCGAGAAGGGGGCCCCTTTTTAGCCCGCGGGTCCGGTCCGAAGACCTCGACGAGCAGGGCCTCGTGATGGAGATGGCCCTGTACGGTTTTCCCCGGGGCCGTAGGCGACCCAAGGAGGAGGAGGAGGAGAAGGAGGAGGAGGAGGAGGAGGAGGAGGATGGAGACGAGGAGAAGGAGGAGGAGGAGGAGGAGGAGGAGGAGGAGGAGGAGGAGGGGAGGAGGAGAGAGAAGAAGGAGGAGGGGGAGGATGAGGTGGAGGAGGGGGAGGGAGGAGAGGAGGAGAAGGAGGAGGAGGAGGGGAGGAGGAGGAGGAGAGGAGGAAGAGGTGGAGGAGGAGGAGGAGGAGGAGGAAGGAGGAGGAGGAGGAGGGAGGAGGAGGAGGAGGAGGAGCTGGAGGAGGAGGAAGGGGAGGAGGAGGTGGAGGAGGAGAGGAGGCAGGAGAAGGAGGAGAAGGAGGAGGAGGAGAGGAGGGGGAGGGGGAGGAGGAGGGGAGGGGAGGGAGGAGGAGGACAGGAGGAGGAGGAGGAGGAGAAGGAAGAGGAGGAGGGGAGGAGGAAGGAGGAAGGAGGAGGAGGAGGAGGAAGAGAAGGAGGAGGAGGAGGAGGAGGAGGAGGAGGAGGAGGAGGAGGAGGAGGAGGAGGAGCAGGAGGACGGGTCGCCTAAGCCCTTCGGAGAAACTCTCCACGATGCCCCCGTTCACCGAGTCGGAGACGCCTGGTGCGCAGGGTGGCTCGACGCTCGAGTCCGGGGGGCAACTCGCCGGCCCAACGGGCCAGAGGCGTGCTAAGAGCTCCGGTAACTGCTGAATAATACTTCTACTTCGCGCGCGCGGGGCGGCCCCTGGGGGTCCCCGGACGAAAAGTACCCCGGGCGATCCCCGGCAGACTCGGGTCAGAGATGGTTTTCCTCCTGGGCGCCGCCCCCGTGGCCCTCCAGAGAGCCCCAAGAAGGGCCACGAGGCCGCCAAGAGCCCTCCAAGATGGTTCAAGAGTGCTCCGAGATGCCACACGATCGTTCCAAGACGCCCAAGATGGCCCCCAGACGCCCCAAGAGGCCTCCAAGAGCACTCCCCAGAGGGCCCCAAGAGGCAAAATTCATTACTTTTCCTTAGGTTTTGGGCAGATTTTGGCGTGTCCATCTTTTCGGCTTCCCGACGCCCCAAGACGGCCCAAGAGGCCCCCAAGATCGCCCCAAGAGGGCCCAAGAAGCTCCCAAGAAGGCCCCAAGATGGCCCAAGAGGGCTCCAAGACGGCCCCAGAGGCATCCAAGACGGCCCAAGAGGGGCCCAAGAGGGCCCCAAGCGATGCCCCAAAGGGGGAACACAAAACAAAACTTCGAGCCCTCGGCCTTAAGAAGCCCCCAGGAGGCCTCAAGAGGCCCCTGAGAGGCCCCAAAAGCCCCCAAGAGGCCCTCAGGAGGCCCCCAAGCGACGCTGAAGAGGCCCCCCAGCGGCCCCAAGAGGCTCAGTCATGCGAAATGGGCCGGCGGAATGAGCGAAGCGATTCAATACTCGGGCGCAACGTGGCGTGCCGAGGGCGACCCGGAGCTCGAGCGCGGCACCCCGCTCGAGGACAGCCCCGAGCGCAGGGGCATCGTGAAGCTCGCGAGGGCGGCACGGTGGGCGGCAAAAAACCCGGCAGGGAGCAGAGGAACCACAACAGAGTTGTGTGACGTCGCAGCGCGGCGGAGGCAGTCAGCACGCGCGCTCAGGCGGTCCAGAAACCGGAGAGCGCAAATCAACCGACGGCAGGAGGGAAATACGAGGGAAAGCGGCCGCGAAAGCAAAATAAAACATGAGAACCTGAAGGGCGGCGAGAGCGGCAATAGTTCAAAGGCGTCGGCGGCGGACCCGGAAGCGGCGGCGGCATCAGCCTGATGAGCAGCGCCTGCGACGGCGCGACGCGCGAGGGCGGGCTTGCGCACTGCGCACGATGGCTCGAACGACATCGGCATCGGCAACCTTAGCTGTCCCGATGCGCAACACGCAACACGTAGCGCACGGTGAGGGCATTGTAGAAGGAACCGGTAGATCAGGAATCCAGGGTCCGAAGCCGGTGGAACACCAATTGAGGCCTGGCCACGGATACCCCCGCCGCCCTCATCAGATAAGGAAGCCCCCAGGGCTTGAAGCCTCCTGGGCACATTCCTTAACCAACGCCCTCACCGTATCGTTACGGCGCTCAGCAAGTAGACTGATAACGTAGGTCTGACGCGATGTGTTAGCCAAAACGTGGGCCAATACGCTGAGCCAACACGCAACGTATCGACACGGGCGGTTTGAGCACGGCATATGTTGCGTATCGACACGGGCGCATCGCGGCAGCGAGGCCGGCAACAATACAGAGCTCGGGGGAAACCGCCGTTACGGCAGGCCCGGTGGATTCGACGGCTGGTGGCGCCCCCACCCGGGAGATGTGCTCCCGCGCGGTTTTCGACGTCCGGCTCGGTGGCTTCCTGACGCTGGCGCTCGGGGAGAGGCGCACGGCGCTCCTGCAGTCCTCCGAGGAGGCCGGACCGGACTGCGGCACGCGTGATAGGCGGCGTGATCATGATGGAGCCCGCGTGCTCGCAGCCGCACAGCGCGGCGGAGCGGGCGGCGGAAGGTCTGCTCGGGAGGGTATCGGGTGCGACGCAAAACTCCTCCTCCTCCTCCTCCTCCCTGGGTGCGACGCAACAATCCTCCCCTTCCTCCTCCTCCTCCTCCTCCTCCTCCTCCTCCTCCTCCTCCTCCTCCTCCTCCTCCTCCCTCCTCCTCCTCCTTGCCCTCCCTCTCCGCACCCACCACCTCCTCCTCCACCTCCTCGCCGACTTACCCAGCTGGGTAGGGATGTATGCCTGCTCCGTCGGGCTTCGCGGGACCTATCCCCACCCAAGGTGTGCTGGCGGGGCCGAGATACCGTGGCCCGCTTGGGAGGGGGATTGGCTGCAGTCAACCCGTGTCAGGGAAGCAAGGGCCTCGGAGGCAGGAGCCTCGGAAGGCCATGCCGACACTCTGCGAGCGGAGCGCGGTCAGCGAGAGAGCGGCCAGAGACGGGCCGAAGAGGAAGGATGCGAGGATATAACCTTTGGACGTCGCTTCCTGTGCGTGCAGGCGATGCCGAGGAGCAGGACCCAGACGTCTGACGCCGTGCTGCTCTCACGGCGTGGCCCGCCGAGAGTCTCGACCCCTTCTTGGGGACCGGCTTCCCGTCCCGGACCTCCTCCTCCTCCTCCTCCTCCTCCTCCTTCTCGCCTTGCTCCTCCTCCTCCTCCCCCCCCTCCCCCTCCCCCTCCCCCTCCTCCTCCTCCTCCTCCTCCTCCTCCTCCTCCTCCTCCTCCTCCTCCCGCCCGCCCGCCCGCCCGCCCGCCCGCCCGCCCGCCCGCCCGCTCGCCCGCCCTCTTCTGCAGCCGGACAACTCGTCGGTCGCGTGCCCCGAACGATTCGAGCGCCCGCGCGGGCTGCCCCTGCCGTGCCGCGCTGTGCAGAAGTCTCCACGGCGCGAGGACGTCAGGAGAGGACGGGGGGTCGCCAGAGGGCCAGCGGTCTGCGGGGGAAGAAAGCACAGTGGAGAAAGCACACACACACATACACAAGTCCGTGTGGACAAGAACACGCACAGTGGAAACAAAAACAGTGTGTGTGTGTGTGTATGTGTGTGTGTGTGTTTGTGCGTGCTTGTGTGTGTGTTTGTGTGTGCTTGTGTGTGCGTTGTGTGTGTTTGTGTGTGTGTGTGTGTTTGTGTGTGCGTTGTGTGCTGTGTGTGTGTGTTTGCGTGTGTGTTGTGTCTGTGTTGTGTCTGTGTTGTGTGTGTTTGTGTGTGTTTGTGTGTGTGTGTGTGTTGTGTGTTGTGTGTGTATTGTGTGTGTGGGTGTTGTGTGTGTTGTGTGTGTTGTGTGTGTTGTGTGTGTGTTGTGTGTGTTGTGTGTGTGTGTGTGTGTGTGTGTGTGTGTGTGCGTGCGTGCGTGCGTGCGTGCGTGCGTGCGTGCGTGTGTGTGTGTGCGTGTGTTTTGTGTCCACTGTGTCCACCGTGTTTTTTTGTTTGTGTGTTTTTCCACAGTCGCGCGATCGGCGCGCGCAGGGCGGCGGCACGACGCCGCTGCCGAGCTCCCCGAACTGCGTGGGCCAGCACCAGAGGCCGAAGCGCGGGCACGCCGCGCAGAAGGCCGCGTGGCTGGCGTACCTCGCCCGGGCAGGGCCGCACACACCAATGGGCATCGACTAACCGATCCCGATCCCCGCGGGCGTTGCCGGGGCCCCACTGGCCGATTCACCCCCCCTGGATGGGGATGTAGGCTGTTCCCTTCGGGTTTCGAGAGGCATATCCCCCAATGAGGTGCTGAGACGGTGGAGCTCAAGATGGGGGTAGGTATCGGTTAAACGATACTGAATCACTGCACCGACCTTGCAGGCGTGCTGCAGCGGACTTTCGCGTGGACTTCTGTCGATGCATAACCCCGAAACGGCGAACGAAAAACGGATGGAATTTCACTTGGATGTTCTTTTGTCTTCATTCCTGGCCACAAAGAATCCGCACGAAATTAACATCGAAATCCGTAACGCCTAGCAATGTTGCAGGGTGAGCTGGCTGCGCGCAGAAGGGGTTGGGGGAGGGGGGAAGACTTCTTAGAATTCGACATGGTCGATTCTGGCAAGCGCAACCCCCTGGGAATCTCCAAACACTTATCCCGCGCATTCCCGCGAATCTCCAATCTCCACAAATTCTTCCAGCGAGTCTAGAGAAACATCGTCGCGCCTGAAAAATATTCCTGCGAATTTGCAAAACATCCACCCGCCTTGGAATTATTCCGTCGACTCTCCAAAATATCTTCGCGCCTCATAATCCCCAACGGAATCTCCACCGGAGATTTTCGATGGATTTGCAACAGAATTTCCAGAGATACTGGAAATACTGCACGCCAGACATTTTCCGTAGATGTGCTGGAGGTCTTCCGTTGATTTTCCAGAGATCTCTGCACATCGGCAATTTTCTGGACATGTCCTGGAGATCCCTGCACCGCGGAGATGTTCCGGGGAGTTCCCCAGAAATTTGTGAAGCCGCGCCTGGATATGTTCCGCAGATTCCCCCGCAGATTCTAAAGCCCGGAGATTTTCCAGAGATTAAGGGAATGCCGAAATGTCCCTTGAGATGTTCAAGGGATGCTTCACTCAGAGGGTCCTGGTGGCGTTTGCAATGTTGACCCGCCGATCGAATATTAGAAGGAGGCTGCTTCTTAGAAGGCTGCTTCTTACAAGGCCCGCGCCTTCTACGAAGCAGCCTTCTTCTCAGAAGCCATCCCCCCTCCCCTACCCCCCTCTGCGCGTGGCCGAGTAAGGATGCAAGACCCTTGGCAGCCCCATGTACCATTCAGAGCTCCTCGGAAGTCAGCATGGGCTCAGGATGGGCCGAGGGAGCAGGGATGCTAGGGTGGCCTTGAAGACGCAGCGCAACCTTACCATGCATCTTGACCGTGCCGCATGCTGCGCCGACGACAACCCGAGGGACGGGCATGGTGTACGAATCCCACCTCGGACGGGGGATGGGGAAACCAAAAGGTAGCACCACAACTATTCCCAGGACTTCTCTTGGGGCGCGTTCTGACCAGGATTTCGAGGCGAATCCAGCGTTGGCGACGAAGGCCTCCCAGGAGGCCCCGCAAAGGGGAAACGAGGCGATGGTAGCGGCATGGCCACCTTGTGTCCTTGGGATTTCTGGGCCACGCCTGTCCCAGAGGGGCTCCGCGATGCCCCGTGCTCGCGGCGCGAAGCGGGGGCGAAGCGAGCGCGGGCTCACGAGAAAGCAGGGAGCTTTTTGGGAGCCCCCCTTGGAGGCCTGGAAATTGGCACCAACACCAGAACAGGGGGTTGCCTCGACATGGGAAAGATGATCCTAGATTTCGGTGTTGGTGGTAATAGTTCGGTCACCTTGGAAGCCAGAATATTACCACCATCACCGAGATCGGGATCGTCTTTCCTCGGCAGAGGCACACCGCCGATCTTGGTGTTGGTGTTAACCTCTAGGCCTGCGACCCCCTGCCTCAAAGCCAGGTCTCAGCACGGGGGGAAGCGGGCCCCGAAGGGCAACGGGCCCCAGGCCCCGAAAGCCAACAACGGCGTGGACCAAGCCGGAGGGGGGGGGGGGGGGGCAGGCGTGACAACGGCGGCCCCCCGGGGCGCTTCTCGCTTCCTCTTCGGGCCTCCTGGAGAATTCTCTCGTCGCCGCGGCGGGGCCCGCGTCGAAAAGCGCGTTCGGTTGGGACGATGGGCCCCGCGTGGGCCCGCGTTTCTCGCTTCCTTCGGGCCTCCTGGAAAAGTCTCGTCGCCGCGGCGGGGCCCGCGTCGAAAAGCAAGTCAGGAGTACCCCTAGGGAGGGGTCCGGGCATGGATCTCGACAGCGGATCTTACCATGGGGGAAACGTGGGCCCAGAGGCATTCCCCCAGGACGAGCTCGTCATCCGGGGTCGTTCTCTGACGGTCCCGGGGCCCGTGGAGGGCCCCCGAGGGCCAGAGAATGGCGAGAAGCATCAGGACCCGTTTCCCTCAGGACCCGCTTCCCCCATGGCGATCCTGGGCGGCGCGCGCAAGGGGGCAGGGGGAGGGGGGAAGGCTTCTTAGAAGGAGGCTGCTTCTTAGAAGGCGCCGGCCCTGCGTCTACAGACACGGCCGCGCGCCTTCTCAGGAGCAGGGGTGCTTCTTTTTTTCTTTTTTTTTCCACCCGCCGAGCGTTACGACGGATTTCGTTTTTTTTTGGAGGGCGACGAGGGAACGAGGGAGAGGAGGAGGAAGACGAGGCTTTCTAAGAAGCCTTCCCCCTTCCCCCCTGCCCCCCCCCCTCTGCGCGTGGTCGAGATTATCAGCAGCCTCCGAGCCCGTCGCGGAGGCCGCCCGCGCGATCTCTGCGCGGGCCGCCCCCCCTCGGCCCAATCCTCTCTGTGAAAGCCTCTATAGCTGCAGGGGGGAGTGGTCGGCGTGTGCCGTTTCCCTGCGGAGCACCCCTTCGCCTTCAGCTCCTCCTGCACGCTCCTGCTGCTCGCATCGGCCTCGGCCCCTCCCCTAAGACGAAGCCAGGACGCGGATGCCTGTCCTACACAAGAGTGGCGCCAACACCTGTACTCCTCACACAGCCTGCCAAGCCCAAAGCAAGAACCATGGATACGTGGGTTGGCTTTGGCGAAGCCCGGACGAAAATGACATCGGGCGAGGATAAAGTGGAGAATCTCTGGGATCCAGTGGTTGTAAGAGGATGTCGCGGGCGCCGCGGCCTTCTCAGAGCGTTCCCGAACGCTCTGAGAGAGTTCAAGAACGCTCTAGACCGAATTTTCTCCTCGTCCTAGCCCCGTCCGATCCCCTCCCAACTCCACCATCCCCCCCCCAAACTCCACCGGCTCCAGGAGCAAGGAGAGACGAGACCACCGCCACAGCGGCCAGGGGGGCAGAGGGCCCTCGCTGGTGTGGTGTCGCTGCTGATAGGCGTCCCGCTCGGGACACCTCCGATCTCGAGCTCGGGGAGGCATCGTGGGCCCACCTCCTCGCCAGAGGTGGCGCTGCCGCGGTGTCGATGCCCCTTCCTCCGACTCCTCCCCCTCCGCAACCACCTCGTCCGGTCCGTCGCCGGCCTACAAACGGCAACCGCAAAGATCATAAGCACAATAATTGCTACATGGTGGCCACTGGTGGTACAATCACCGCTGTCGCTACAAACTTCGCTGGTGCTATCGCAAGCATAACCGCACCCGAAAGACCAGGCACGCTGGATCGAATCAGACGGCTATGGAGAATGCTCGCAACCGCGCTTTGCGGCGACAAGCGTTTGTCGGGGCCAGTGCTGGTGCATTCGCCCAGGCTCCTTGCGAAGCACAAGCGAAGTGCCCTCAACGCAGCAAAGACGAACATGCATCTATGCTTCCATCCAGCCCTTCCGCTTGTTTTTGTTTGGGGGGGCGGCTCCCAACAAAAACGAAGCCGACAACAACGATAAGCATACTCGGCAGTGAAGAGGAATGGTTATGTGTTATTTGTCTAGTTCCGACCCGATTGGCCCAGACCACCCCCCCGTGACACAAGTCTAAGCGTCCACTGCCGCCTCCCGACACACCCCGCTCCTCCACAGTACGACCCATGACCTGCCCGCCCCCGAAGCCACAGCGCCCCACCACCAAGACGGCAATTTGACAGCGGCCCAAAAGACTCCAGGAAGCCCCCAAGCGATCCCCAATAGAGGAACAACAAACTGCACGAACAGAAACTTTCGGAGGTCTGTGTGGATGTACTGGATCTTCGGTGGACCCCCGACCTAGCGCGCAGAGCGCGCCAGGGGCAGCGCTGGAGGCGCCGCCAGGGGGGCCTGAAATCCACGCGGACATCCACATGTTCTGATCTTCCGACCCAGCGAGCATCCTGGAGCTCTTCAGGATGTCCCTGGGAGACACAACATGGCGAACCACTTTCTGTTGTTTGAATGCTTTCGCGCTGCCGCCGATGGCGCAGCAAAAGATGTATATACGCCCCCAGGCAGCTTCTGGGCCACCTCTGACACCGCCCTGGTCCACAAAGCCCCCAGACGGTCCACGATCTCCTCGAAACGCCCCGAAGAGGCCCAAGAAGGCCCACAGACCCCCCGATCAGCCCTAAGGCTCAACGGCTGCACCGAGAGTGTGCGTCAACGAACCTGGGTGTGAACACCAATGCAATAAGAAAGGTCAGCGCCTGTGAACGAAACAGCTATATCAGAATATGTTCGGCTGCCCGGACGGATTTCACGGGTCAGCGCGACCCCCGTCCCCACACCCCTTCCATGGCGCGCGGGGCGCGACGCGAGTGGCGCCAGAGGCGCCGCCCTGGGGTTGCGCGGAGAGGGGTCTGGCGCCAACCCAACAAATCCGCGCCGACATGCTGGAAGTTGATGTTTACAGTCAGGCTGCTGAAATTCGCCGGCCCAACGGGCCAGAGGCGTGCTAAGATCTCCGGCAACTACTTAACAATATTTCTAGTTCGCGCGCGCGGGGCTGCCCCTGGGGGCCCCCGGACGAAAAGTACCCAGGCTGATCCCCGGCCGGGTCCCGGGCGATCCCCGGGGGGGGGGCATTTTTCGCCACCCCTCACGAGGATCGTGGCCTCCGAGGGGGTGGCTGCAATCGACTACCCCCCCTCCCGCCCCAAGGGGCCCCCAAGAGCCTCCTAAGAGGCCCCAGGGGAGCCCAAGACGCCGCCAAGGAGCCCCAAGACGCTCCCAAGAAGCCCCCAAGAGGCCCCCAAGAGGCCCCACGAGGCCCCAAATAGCGCTCCAAGGACGGCGGAATGAGCGAAGCGATTAAATCCGCCCGCCCACCGGGCTGAGGGGCGTGTGAGATTTAATTACAAAGCTTTAGCCCCCCCCCATCTTCCCCCCCCAGAGGCCTCCGCCATTCCGCCGCCCGGCTGCGGCAATGCCCTTTTTCGGTTTCCAAAACGGCTCCACGACGGCGTCCAAGACAAGCTCGATCTTGGTATCGTTCTGAAGACGCTGCCGGGCGCCTGTGGGCTCCATTTCGGCCCCGTCGGGGCCCCTTCTTGGCCTCCAATATCCGCTCCTTGAGCCCTCGACAGCGCCTCTTTGGCTCATTCTCGCCGACACGTGGGGATGTCAAAAAATAACAATTACTATAGTTTTGGCCTGATTTCGGCTTCCCCGGGGCTGTCCAGGACGCTGCTTACAATTGACTTCTGGGCTCCCGTGCGTCATTTTTCATCACTCCCTTTTGTTCGCCGTTTTGGGGCGCGCTCCGGGGTCCATTTTGGACGCTGCGGGCCCATGTTGGGCCGCAAAACGGACCCCAAACCAGGTCAGACCCCGCCCGGTTTTTACTGCAAGACGGACGCGGTTGCGACCCAACGCGGAAGTGCTGTCGCTTGAGCCGCCCTGGGCTTCCCCCAGACCGCCTCGGGGCCTTCTTAGCCTCTTTTGGGGCCCTTTTCGGGTTCCTCTTCGGCCCTTCTTGGCGCCCAAGAACGCCCAAGGGCGGCCAAACATCGGCCCAAGAGGGCTCCAAAATGCCACTTTGAGGGCTCCAGAGGAGAGGGCGTCAATCGGGGACCCCGCCCCTCGTGTGACCGATGGCCTCCAAGGAGGCCCCAAGAGCTCCTCCTCCGAGGCTCCAAAGGGCCCCCAAGAGAGCCCCAAGAGAGCTCAAAGACCCCCAGGCTTCCCGAAAGAGCACCAAGAGGAGCCCGAACCATTCAGAGGAGCCCCAAGAGGTCAACGACGGAGCCTCAGCAGCACCCCGACAGGCCCCCCAGAGAGCAACGTCAACAGCAGAAGCACCACCAGCACCTGAAGCACCACCACTGCGACCAGCACCAGCAGCAGCAGCAGCACCACCACCACCACTGACAACAGCAGCGGCACCACAAGCAGCAGCAGCACTAACACCGGCACCATCAGCACCAGCGCCAGCAGCGTCAGCAGCAGCAGCAGCAGCAGCAGCAGTAGCAGCAGAAGTAGGACCAACAGCAGCAGCGGCACCCGCACTGCACCGTACCACCAGCAGGAGCGACAACAACAACACCAGCAGCAACACCAGCAGCAACACCAGCCGCAGCACCACCACCACTAACAGTAGCAAGTACGACAAACCTACTGTCGAACAGCCACGAGGCATGCCTGAGCATAGTAGGCGATAGCATAGGAAGAGAGAACGCGGGACAACAACAACAACACAACAGACGACTTTTATGAATTCCTGCTTATGCTTATCCCGTCATGGAGCCGTCTTCGCCTCGTCCGGCGAGAACTGGAATGGGCGGGCGGTGAACGCGAAGTGTCTTGAATAAGGAACGCTAAATAGGGAACGAAGCCCCTCTGCGGCTCCAAACAAGCCTGGGTGCACGAGAAGGGCTTGAGAAACGACCGCGGAAGGACGTAGGGAGCATCGAGCCCCTTCCGGATCCAAACCGTTCCTCAGTTCCGCGTCCTGGCTGCACTGCCGGGACCCTGTGCTCAGCGTATCGCGGCGGCGGCCCCTGGCGTCACGCCGTGCCCCGCACAGAGCGGGCAGCGCGTCGCTCTGCCTCGCGGGACGGGAGGCCTCGACCGGCTCGGGACGCTCACGCCCAGGGGGCTCGGACGCGAGCAGCTGAAGGGGCCCTGGGGCACACAAATACATATACACAAATGAAAAAGGATTCCCCATAGTTTCCGATATTTTTGGGGTTTCTGTCTTCCCCCCCAACTCCGATATGTTCCCACATTTTCTGGGGAATCGGCGAGTCATTGTGCCTGTGCGTTTTCTCCCCTCCTGAGTAGCGTGTCGTGCCGAGGCGTGGTGAGCCAGAACTGCCGGCGCGACGCGCTAAGCCAAAGTCTCCGACCGAACACCGTGTCAAGTGCCTTCGAGCAGGGAAGCGGCCTCGGAACGGATCTTGTCGTACTGGTGCTGGATCTCGCGGACGCCGCTGGCGTCTGTCCAGTCGGTGAAAAACTGCCTGGTGTACTCCGTCGGCGGCATCGGGATGCCCCTGCTCGGTTGGGCCAGCCCGAACCCCCATCAACCCCGATCCCCTGACCGCGGCTCCGCTCAGCCTGATCGAAGCGGGTGTTGCACCCTAGACTGTTCGGGTAGACCTGCCCCCCGAGAGGCTGTACATGCTGGGACCGGCCGTATGAAAATGCGGACTCAGAAGGCTTTCAAAAGGCGAGGCGGCTTCTCAGAAACCCACCCAGCTTTCTTGCAGGCTCGGCCTCGTTGTCCCTTCCCCTATTGGCGCTGACATCAGCTGCGCCTCTTCTAGAGCATTTGCCCTTGTTGTCCGCTCTTAGATCGCAAACGTTTGATTCCGCCTGTGTCTGCCAGCGTTCTGGCAGCTTTTGCTGACGGACCCGCGACGACTCTATTTTCGCAGCCTTGCGCTGGCCGTCCGCCGAAGACGAGAGGCTGGCTATTCGAGGCCTCGGAGGCGAAGCTCTTTCATTGGAGTATCCTATATCGTCTCGAGCTTCCGAACGGCCGCCACATGACGTGCACACAGTACCAGAAATCCGACGCCGTTTTTTACAAACAATGATGATAATAGTAATAACGGTCATCATGCGAAAAGTGATACTAATGCTAATATTATAGCATGGCTCCTCAGAGACCTGGGCCCCTTCCTAGGGACCACGTTTTCATCCGAGTCGTTTTTGGGCAGTCTGGGGCCCTTGTGAGGGCCCTCGTTGGCCGAAAAGAGGGAGACAACACACGAACTCCGTGCTTCTTCACGGCGCGAGAAGATCAGGGTAGGATTAGGTCGGGCACGTCCCCCTACAGGGGGATTCCGGACGAAGAGAAAAAACATCCCCCAAACATACCCCAGCATGGCAAACAAATACTCCAACAGTCGTCTCCATACTATTTGTTTGACCGCGCTTGAATACTCCTCCTGTGGAGGGCCAGGCCCAACGCAAGGGCAGGAGAGTCGAGCGTCACCCGTCCCTGCCCCGAGTCGTCTCACCTGGAACGCCCCGCGGCGCGGCACCTGCGGGCCCGCGCCTCGGGCGGACGCCACCCGCTGAAGGGGCGGGGCCCGGGGACGGGCACGCCCGACGTGAGGCACGCGAGAAGAGGCCTCGCCTTCGAGGGTCGAATGGATTGGTTCGGCGGCGGCGACAGGGGCGGGCATTGCACGCATTCGCCCGGGAGCCTCTTCGAAGACATAGATCATCGGCGCATCTGAATACATGCGTTGCTCTCCCCTGGGCTATTCGCCCCTATCGTCGCCTCTGGTTGGTTCCTCGGCGGAAGGCGGCGGAAGGCCGGCGGAAGGTGGCGGAAGTAAGACGAGGCCGCCGCCTTCGAGGATCGAAGGGATTGGTACCTCTTCCTCGGCGGAAGGCGACGGAAGGCCGGCGGAAGGCGGCGGAAGTAAGACAAGGCCTCGCCTTCGAGAATCCGCCGACCCCTTGTGGGTCTCTAGGCGTGTGAGATAGTTCCCCCCCCTATAGTCCCCCCCCCAGGGACCCCAAACCGGCGATTTGACCCCCCCCCCCCGGGCCCGGGACGAGCGCCTCAGGCCCGGGACGAGCGCCCCCCCCGGGCCCGGGACGAGCGCCGCCGGGCCCGGGACGAGCGCCGCCGGGGCTTTGCCGGGTTCCAGGAAGCCTCAAGACGGGCCAAGATGGCCCCAAGAGGCGTTCAAAACGGCCCACGGGAGCTCCGAGACGCCAAACGAGCGCTCCAAGACGCCCAAGATGGCTCCAAGACGGGCTAAGAAGCCTCCAAGACGGCCCAAGAGGTCCCCAAGAAACCCCAAGACGCCTCCAAGATGCGTCCCACGAGGGTCCCTAGACGCAAAAATTGGCCCATTCCCCACGTAAAACGTACATTTTTCACGAATTCGCTTTTTTGGTTTTTCCGACGCTCCCAGACGGCCCCAGACGGCCCAAGAGGCCCTAAATACCGCCCCAAGACGGTCCAAGCAGCCTCCAGGGAAGCTCCAAGGCAGCCCAACAGAGCCCCAAGACAGCCCAAGAGGCGCCCAAGATTGCCCAAGAGGGCCCCGAAGACGGCCCCAAGAGCGCTCCAGGAGCGCTTCAAGTTGCCTCCAAGAAAGCTCAATATGGTCACAGACGGTCGAAGAGCGATCAAAGACACCGACGATCGCCTCCAGACGGCCCAGGACGGCCCCAAGAGGCCCCAAGAGGCCTCCAAGATGCGTCCCAGGAGGGCCCCTCGGCGCAAAAATTGGCCCGTTCCCTTCGTGAAACGTACTTTTTTCCACAAAGTTGCCTTTTCAGCTTTCCGACGCTCCCAGATGGCCCTGGAGGCCTCCAATACAGCCCCAAGGTAGCCCAGAGGCGTTCGAGCCGGGGTCATCCGAGCTCCGGTGGATCCCGGCTCGAACGCCGCCGGGGGGAGCAAAGGGCCCGAAAACGAACCAAGAGCGCACCAGAGCCCCCCCCCCCAGGGCCCGGGACGAGCGCCGCCGGGCCCGGGACGAGCGCCGCCGGGGCTTTGCCGGGTTCCGGGAAGCCTCAAGACGGGCCAAGATGGCCCCAAGAGGCGTTCAAGACGGCCCACGGGAGCTCCGAGACGCCATGCCTCTCAATCTTTTCTTCTGGCACTTGCCACTGCGCTGTAACGCCTGGCAGCTACGAGCAGTGAAGGCGGAAACGCGGCGATAGCCGCCGGTACGAATCAAGGGGTCGGCGGATGTGGCGTGAGCCTGGAGAATCGAAGGGATTGGTATCTCATCCTCGGCGGAAGGCGGCGGAAGGCCGGCGGAAGGCGGCGGAAGCAAAACGAGGCCGCCTCCGCCGGCGGAAGCAGGCGGCGGAAGCTCGGCAGAAAGCAAGATCGGCCTCCAAAAAATGTTATAAGTATTCTTGCTTCCAGAATTCCTGAACCCGCCACACGGGAACGGGAAGAACGGAGACGATGCCTCACAACAAGGGCGCTCTCGGAAACCGGCAGCCGCCGCTGCTGGGCAGGCGCCGCTCGTCCCAAACGGACGTCGCCCGCGGCGACACCGACAGCGAACCCTGACCAGAATGAACAAGACCTGTTGCTCTCGATCTTCGTGCCCCGTTCCCTCCAGCCCTATCCCGGCCCCCATCCCATCGCGATGGTGTGGCCCCAGGACCACCTCTGAGTCATGTTTGGAGGAACCGGAACGGCATAAACATCGGCATAAACCATCGTAGATCGGCGCGGATTTCTCGGAACGGCGCTAGGCCCCCTGAGCGGTGCCTAAGGTGCCACCACAGGCAAGTTGCGCGCCAGGGAGGGGTGCCCAGCGCCGACCCAAGAAGTCCTCACATCACATCAATTGCACCATCTAGCTTACGCCACATAGCTCACACCGAATATGTTATACTGCATAATTGCTCTGCATGTATAGCCCCACCCTACATCGCACCACATAGCTTACACCACATAGATCGCACCAAATGAATTGCACACATAGCTCACGCCCCATAGACGGCACAACATACATGTCACCACGTAGATTACACCACGTGGCTCACAACACATAGATGGGTACGTTCCCGTTTACAACACACGTAGATTGCACCACATAGCTTGCACCACATAGCTCACAACACATAGCTTGCACCACGTAGCAATTACCACGTTGCTTACATCACATAGCTTTCACCACGTAGATTGCACCATGTAGCTTCCACCACTTGCACCACAGAAATAGCTTGCATCACTGCGCATGCTAGGACACACCGGTTGGGGTTCTCGCTGGCCAGCATGCTGGCCTCTGGGTGCCCTTGCGGAAGGTGAACAGAAGGACTTGGGACGAAAAGCAGATGCCCGGGAAGAGGTCGAGAGCTCCGTGCGGAGCCACGCCATAAAACAAACACGCGGCGCGAGGATGTCTGGGAAGGTCCCCCCCTCTCCGCCGAGCCCCCCCCCCCCCCCCCCCAGCGGCGCCGCCGACCGGCAGGGGCGACGAGCGGCGGCTCCCCTCCCACCCAGAGCGGCGCCGCCGACGGGCAGAGGGCGACGAGACAGGACGAGCCCGCCTGTGCAGGGCAGCGGGCCTCTGGCCCCCGGCGCGGGGCGGCCCGCCCGCGCGCGCGCGCCCGCGCGCCCGCGCGCGCCCCGCGCCCCCGCGCGCACGAGCTGGAAGTCTCGGAGAGGCCAGCGTGCTGGGAAAGGCGCGAGGAGCCAGGCCGGGAGGTCCGGGAGGGGGGGAGGGGGGGCAGGGGGGAGGGGGAACAGAGGCAGGCGGGGGGAAGGGGAGAGGACGGGGAGGGGAGCCCAAAGAGGAGAGGGGGGCGAGGGAGGGGGAATGGGGGCGAGGGGGGCGCCGGCGAGCGGGAAGCGTACGGGGAGGGGGGCGGAGATCGAAACGCCCGCGCCAGAGGGGCCGCCGCTTTGTCAGCAGCGGCCCCAGGGGCGTGTGGGCGAGAGCAGGCGGCGGCAGACGCCGCCGGTCGGCCACAGCAGGCGGGGCTTGCGGCGGCCGCGGCGGCGGCGGCAATCTTCAGCGGCAAGGCAGCGGCTCGACAACCTCGGAGCGGCTCCCGAGTGAGCCGCACGGGCCCCCTCCGGAGCCGCTGCCTCGTCCTCCTTCTCGCCCTCCTGCTGCATCTCCATCTCGTCCTCCTGCTGCCCTCACCCTGCTGCTCTGTTCCCAGATCCCCGAGCCCCGCCGAGCCCGCAGGAGGACCACCGCGGGAAATCCAACCTGCGAGACGCACGCTCCACGCCCCCCACTCGCGGGCTGGCGCGGCAAGAAGCGGGTGGGCACATAGCATGGCTCACCAGCGCCAGATGATGTCTGATTTCCGCCAGACATCCAGACCTCGTGTCGTTTCCTCCGCAGGCTCTCTGCCACATTGCGCCGAGGAAGAGGGGTCTCAATTCCTCGAAGACGAGGACCGTTGTGCGAATGCGTTCTGTGACATGAGGGCAAAAAAGAGTAGTTACTTACGGAAGGGAACTTCTTCTTAGCGTGTCGCGACGGCGGCCCCTGCCTGCGACACGCAGGCTGATGATGCACTGCAAGCTGATAACGTGCCGCTTCGCTTC